AGTTCTTCAAGTGATGCATTCCAGTCTCCTGTTATGATCTAGGGAATGCGAAGTTCCTGTGTGAAGACTGCCAGCTCAGCTGGATTTGGGGGTTTACACCTCCACCTGGTCCTTTTCCGGACTCTGGGTACACGTTGCCAACAGCAAGTTCCCACCCATGGAACCTGATGCCAATGATCACAGTCCAACAGAGGCGTGTGCACCATCTTGCAGGTAAATGTCACTCAGACAGGTCAGAGATCAATGGCTGGTGTCAAACCAGTGTCACGTTGTCTGTCTTCAAGAAACGTGTGTTGACAAAGAGCAGCAGGAAGGCCTAGTCTCAGGCCCAGCAGCTGCTTTCTTGACTCCTGGCCTCACCCGGCGGAAGCGACGCAAGGAGGCAGCACAGGAGGCATCGTAACAACGGCACAAAACCACCATCAAACAACTCTTCCGTTTATGGACGAGAAAGAAGGCGACGATCCGCTAGGAAACCTTGGATCCTTTGTTCCCTTGACCTCAAACTCCTTCAACACCAACTCTGGTTCTCCATGGGCGGCAAGAGACTTGCTAGGTTGGTGGGTGCCATGGTGCCTTTCTGGTTGGGTTCTCCAATCAAACTCTTTTCCGATACCATTTTGGTTGATGTGAGATCCTTTTCAACCAAGCAGAAGCTGGTGCCACGCAAACCAGCAGCAGCAGTTTTGTGAGTTGTGCTGTCAGCCCACGGACCGGCTGATGCAAACCAGCAAGAACTGGTGTGCTGCACTTTGGGTGGCGGAGAAACACATTCTCCAAAAGTGCAGCCCATGGTCTGTTCGCCAATTTTGGAAGCCTACGCAAAAAAAGCGTACCACTTGAGGCAGAAAACCGTTTGGCTGGTACTGCGGCGAGTCATGCTCCATATGGGTGTGGCAGCAGACGGCAGACCTGAAGAACACAGGGACAGGCAGTAGAGACTCCATCCCTGCGGTTTGGCTAAGTTTGGGAGAGACGGTCCTTTCGAGGGCCCGCGGTACTTCCCTGTGGATCTTGAGGATGATGGTGAGGTCTAGAGCTGTTAGAGGCCGTGCAGTCTGAACTCTTCCCACCGCAAACCAGGCTTGCCCAAAAAACGCCATCTCCTTCTCTTCCTTCCTCGTTGCAAGTAGGCCGACAACGCTCTTTCTTGCGTGGCAGACAGCTCGACCCCCGCAACCTTCAAAAAGACTCTGCAGATCGCAAACTTTCTTGGCTGGGCGGCTTGACATTCTTGAGTTGCTCCTGCACCTGAGTCTGCACCTTTTCCAGACTGTCCTCCGCCTTTTCAATGGCCGGAAACGTCTGCCAATTCTTTGAGAGCTTTTTCGAACTGGCCTTTGATCTTGTCAGCTCTTACTTGCAGCCGCACTTTGCGCTCCACCAAGTTTCTGTGGTTCTGGGTGATCGACTTGTACGCCGAGAGGTACTTTTGCAGCATGACCCTCGGGTCATCACTCTTGTCCTCTTCCGGTTGCTCAATGCCACACGCTCAAAGAATCTTTTGGACTTGCGGGTCTGCATCTTGCTACAGACTGGCGACGGCATCCTCGTACTTCTGGAAAGTCATCTGAGCACCGGTCCATCCCAGTCCTGGCGGAAACTCCACCTGCTTCTTTGGCACGTTGGCTACCACGCTGGTTTCTTTCCAGCTCTGCTCTTTCTGCCATGGCCTGGCGAGTTCAAGCTTGCCACTTATTCTAGTTCTTTGCGCGTGGAGCTCTGGTACCTCTGTGGCGTGTGTAAGATCCTTGGTAGCACCACAATGCCAACAGCATGGGTACCAGACCTTTTCCGATTTCCACACCCAGTCCACTCCGCATTGGGCACATGCCGTGTAGTTCACCAGTAAGCTGGTAACACCAGCAAAAGCAAGTCCAGACCGCTATCTCGCACGACTCTTGCTGGACAGCCAGCCTACGACCTTTGAGGTTCGCGTCTGGTAGGGATCTCTAGCAAAGTCTCAAGGCTAAAAGGCCACAATGGCACTGAAAGTCTTAAGCCAGAGATAACTATTTTTTCTCGTCTTTGGTTTGTCCTACATGATGCTTCACTTTGTGTACAGCTCTCTGCTTTGACACCTTGGAGCCCTTCGTGCGTGGGGTGTGGAGGGCCCGATGTGTTCGAGCATCGAGCTCATGGACCATCGGTGCTTCTTCTTGACCAAGACTTTCGCAGTCTCCCACTGCAAAAAAAAAGCGTCCGAGTGTCTGTGAATTTCTTTTAAATCTTTTAAATATATTTCAAGCATTCTTTCAAATATACTCCTTTACATTTATACTACATTGCAGAATGCCCTGATAATTTTTGGGCGACAGGAATCGAACGAAAACAAGAGGATTTCAGTCGCGGGAGCCCTTACAAGAGTCAAAAGGGGTCCTGGCTCTTGCGAAAAGTCTTCCGCAAATAAAATCCTCTTCTCGTAGAAGCTCTCGATGGCTCTTGGACGGCTCTTGTTGGATCATGCGCGCGCTAAAGAAGTCCTCGCTCTTGTGAAGAGTCTGAAAATTTGGCTCTTTTGGGCTCTTGAAGGGCTCTTGTTGGATCATCTGCGCGCTAAACGTGAGAGCCAGGACCCTTTTTGCGCGCGCATGATCCAATAAGAGCCCTCCAAGAGCCCTAGAAAGCCCTGACGAGAGGATGGAGACCCGAGCTAAGATCCCTTTAGCGCGCGCATGATCCAAGAAGAGCCTTGGAGACTCCTGAGAAGAAAGGATTTTGGTCATGGGAACCTCTTTACAAGAGCTGGGACCCTTTTGGCGCGCGCATGATCCAATAAGAACCTTCCAAGAGCCTTAGCTGAGCTCTGAGAGGAGAGGATTTTGGTCGCAGGAGACTCTTCACAAGAGCTAGGACCTTTTAGCGCGCGCATGATCCACCAAGAGCCTTCGAAGAGTCCTAGAGAGCCCTGAGAAGAGAGGATTGTCGCGGAAGAGTCTTCGCAAGAGCCAGAACCCCTCTAGCGCGCGCATGATCCAACAAGAGCCTTCCAAGAGCCTTCCAAGAGCCCTCCAAGAGCCCTAGAGAGCCCTGAGAGGAGAGTGTGTGTTGTGTGTGTTGTGTGTGTTGTATGTGCTGTGTGTGTTGCGTCTGTTGTGTGTGTTGTGTGTGTTGTGTGTGTTGCGTGTGTTGTGTGTGTGTGTGTGTGCTGTTGTTGTGTTGCGTGTGTTGTGTTGTTGTGTGTGTTGCGTGTGTTGTGTTGTTGTGTGTGTTGTGTGTGTTGCGTGTATTGTGTGTGGGCGGTGGGCGGGCGTGATGTGGGATGCGGGAGTCCGGATGGCATGCGGGAGGCGGTGCACGGCACAAAAGCAAAAAACCCACAGTGATGTGGGGAAAAAGGATGCTCCCAGAATTTGTCGTTTGCAAATTTCCATCCTGCGCTAATCCTCGAGCCGTCAAAGCTTCGGTGGGATGTGCCGTCCAGTGCGTTCTGACGGGGGTGCGGAACAGCACACTGGACCTTTCCCCACTTTGGAGTGAGAACAGTTCGAGCGAGTGCGTGAGATTATTTTCATATCATATCTTTATGTTTGCATGGAAGGAACTATTTATATGCTGCTCATTTCATACAGATGTTGGACTGATTTATTTGATACGATTGTTGCAAGCGATTTCCATAGAGAGAATACAAAAACATATTACTCATCAACAAGACTCCTCCTCGTTTTCTTCGGGCAGCATGAAGTCCACTTCTCGCGGCTGAGGATTTTCTGATTGTTTTAGCATGGCTTGCTTTTTCTCAGAGCCAGGGACAAAGAGCTTTGGATAATCTCAACAGCTTGCACCACTGCTGTTGAGGCGGTGATGGTTTCGATGGTGCGTACATGGAGCGCATTCCATGCGGGCGCTCGTCCGATTGTAGACTTGGTATGGACAAGTGCTGAGCCTATCGTTTCCGTGCCAAAAGCTCAGCATTTCTGCATCCTGTTGAGACACCCGTGAACTCCAAACCAGTCTTACACCCCAAAACCCAGCATGTGCCTGCAGGTCTTTGCTGAAGTCTCGCCGTGCCACACCTCACATTGCATGTGGGGTGAAGTTTAAGTTACCAGAATAAGGAAACCATATTATTTACTATAGATCCTTACTATGGTAACTTCAATTAAAACCCTTTCTTGAGTCCTTGCATCTGCTGTCTTCCAGCGGTCCACACCCACAGAAGCAGAGCACACAAACTGCGGAAACATGGGGAGTCATGGGTTTAGGGTTTAGGGGTTTAGGGTTTAGGGGTTTAGGGTTTAGGGTTTAGGGGTTTGCGGTTTAGGGGTTTAAGGGTTTAGGGTGTAGAGGTTTAAGGGTTTAGGGTTTAGGGGGGGGAGACAGAGACAGAGAGAACGGCGCAAGCTTAGAGGCCGGCTCGAAGCTGACAGTTTCGGCAGAGTCATGTCAGCGCCTTACTCCTTGCTGGAGTCCCGGTGGTAATGTAGGAACCTGATATTAGGGTTCATATATGTTCATATATAGGAGCCCTAACAAAGACCCAGGTTTCTTAATCAGGTTCCTATATTAGGCGATGGACTCAGAGCCAAACTGGCAACGGTAGAGCGCTATTCGTTCTAGGCCACTTGGAGGATGAGGTTGATGGTGGTTTTGAGGTGCTGACTCGATGAGATGTTCTGGCACTGCTTTGCAGGCGAGACCTCATGTCCAGTTGTGAGTACACGGCGGCCTGACACCTTCCAAGTCAAACTGTACACCTCGGCATGCTTGCGGACGTGATTTTAGGTCGAACCTGCATTTCCAGTCGTAAGCGAAGTTTGCGTCAGCCGCTGAGGATTCTTCGGTTTCTTAGAGGCTTCCTTGAGGCGTGGGCTCGGACCATCATGTACACAGTCTTGCAAGCCAGAATGCAGAATCTGCCAGCAATGTCTTGCACCACTTCTATGTTTTCTTGTGCAGCTGCGGCTGAAGTCTTGTTTAGATCAGGTCCCCCGATCCGACTGCAACAGCAGCGGCCGGTACTTTCGTGTAGGCCAGCAACACGCGCGGCCAGCAAGACCATGCTTTTTGCCTACGTCGTCCTGTTCGGAGTGGTGGAAGGTGCTCGAGAAGTCGTGGAGCTGCATAGCTCTCATGAGCAGGGTGAGGGTCGTGGTGACGTCTGTTGCTGCCAAAGCCACATGCAGGAGAACAAGGCAAAGGCAAGGGGCGGGGAGGATTGGCAAGAAGTGCCAATCAACGAAGGCAAGTGCTTGATTTTCAAGCAACTGAGGCCGGAGCGTCCTTTCTGGTTTCATGCAGCGGAGGCGAAGTACAGGTGCTGCTGGACCTCGGGGTTCTTCTGCACCTCCAGCATGAGCATCATGGGTTCCTGGAACAACGGTGGCGACAAGGTCGAGGGCGCAGCTGCACAGAGGGCTTGCCCCATCTCCACTTCTCCCAAAGGAACCCTGGACCCTCCGGACAAGACCTTCGCTTTCAACCGCGAGTGGGCCAACGCCGAGAAAACCCTCGTGAAGATGGTCGCCACCAACACTTTAGCCACGGGCGTGGGTGCTGCCAACGCAGCCGGAGCAGGAGGGCTTCACGTGGACATGGCACAGACCGTGGATCATGCACGCAGTGCTTCTGAGACAGCTGAAGACGCTAGTAAGAGTGTGAAACAGCACGTTAGCCCCAAATCCTAGGCAGAAACGAAACGGACCGTGCCATAAATGTGAGGACGACGAGGCTGCGTCGGAATGTTCTCCACTTCAAAGACTCCACTTCAAAGACACTGGACGTGGTAGAAGAAGTTGGCCGCAAAAGGTGAAAAGGGACGTCCTTCCCCGACATGGCTGGATCGTAGTGAGCGCAACTGCGCTGGTGAAGCCTCGTTGCCTTACCAAGCCCAAACGGGGGTTTCCGAAAACAGGGGATCGCGATAACTGATATATATATATATATAGATAGATAGATAGAGTACCCGAAATAGGGTCCCATTGTATGGACCCCCAAGTAAGTTACACAGAACATTCGGAAGCTCCAAACCCTCAACCCTTTATAGAACCCTTATAGAGCCCTTCAAGGAACCCTTAGGGGATCCCTGTAAAGGAAACCCTGATTTTCGGAAGCACCCAATCAACCGAAGCCAAGACTCCTCGGAGGCCGACGGCAAGCGCATCGCCACCGCCGCCGCAGATAGGAAGGCGCTGATACGTCCAACATGAGGCCCAGACACGAAACGTCTCAGACGACCCTGAATGTTGGCTGAGCTCGTTGATTATAATGATTGATTTTACACCGCATCTAGCCGGCAACATGCAGCATGCGGCTGCAGTGTGTTGCTTTCTCGTTGAGACAAGGTGGCCTGAATACCTTCCAAGGTGGGGTCACTGGCCACTAGACAGCGCGCCAGAAATTCTACCAGTCAACAGTCAAAAGCAGCTCACTGCCTCAGCCTCGTTCTCGTCCGAGGTTCCAGATGCCATAGTGAGACTCAGTCGTTTTTGACTTCTTGAACGCAGGGCTTCATGGCCTCCTTACCCAGAGACTCCAATATCGCTTAATCAAGGAATGTTCCTTAAATTATAGTAGGATCCTTAATATGATTTAAGTTATATTCCCTAATTAAGGGATATTGGAGTCTCTGGGTACAGGCAATCCTTGCACCGCTCGGACCGCTCGGGCAGGCTTTGTACATCGCCTTCTGGCTTTCAGCACCTATGTCGGGGCACCCAGACTCGTCAGAGCCTGCGCGTTGTCGGAACATAGTGGAAAGTGGGAGTTTCCGAACATTAGGGGTACCTTATGTGGGGGGTCCTACAGTAGGGATCCTACTATTCAGGGTACTATATTAGGGTCCCTTATTTTCGGAAGCCCCCAACTCCCATTTCAGCTCCAGAGAAACTTCCAAGTTGCCGAGCTCCCAGCCCCAAACGCCCAAGGCTGCGTTCAAGGGCCCTGAGCACCAGCTATTTTTTAGGGTTTAGGGTTTAGGGATTAGGGATTAGGGTTTAGGGGTATAGGGTTTAGGGTTCAGGGTTTAGGGTTTAGGGATTAGGGATCAGGGTTCAGGGGTTTAGGGTTTAGCTAGCTCCAGCAAGCCTCCGAGTCTTTAACGGTGCTTGAACCCTAAACCCCGAACCCTAAACCCTAAACCGCTTTGCAGGTCTGCCGGCAGCCTGCCGGGCCTGCCCTGCCTCCGCAGATTCGCGTGGGTCGAAGAGAAAGAAAGAACAGAGTAGCGGGTTTTAGGGTTTAGGGTTCAGGGTTTAGGGTTCAGGGTTTAGGGTTTAGGGTTCAGGGTTTAGGGTTTAGGGTTTAGGGAAGCATGTGTGGGAAAGGGAAGATCAGAATCCTCCAGAAGATCTTGTTTTTATAAATGCAGACTTTGGTTTTAACCTTGAAAAGCGACCAGCCACTAGTAGAGCATCAAGTTAAGCAGGCTCCCATAAGATGGATCCGGAGCCGAAGGGAGCTCCCAGCTAACAGTTCGACGTAGATCGAGAATCGAGATGCTGGTATCTGCAACAGGCGGCTTGCGACGACATGGAGCGAAAGAGGGAACTTCAGAAAGCGTCGGAGCCATTCTCAGCCGTTTCTGCAAATCCCTTACTATCCGGCTCAAGGGCTTAGCCTGTGAAGCTTAGAATATAACCAGAAGCATCATCTTTTCGAATCACATGCGCCCTTACAGCAACCTTGAGTTCGTGTTTGCTGAGTGGGTATCTCTGAGACAGCTGCGGTCGTACCAAGCCCTCACGCTAGCTGAATGTGCATGACTTAAGAATAGGCAGCAGCCTTCCCGAATAAGGGCGTGTGGACGCATGCCGTGGACAGGGGCCCCGCAGGCATGTCAACGAACAGGATGTTCCACTGCTGGCATAGTCCAAGTTTCGTTACTTTAAACCGAAAAAGCCGAAAACCAAAAGCGCGAAACCCCAAATATGCTATATACCTACCGCTACCTCCTACGCTTGAACCGCCGTACCACTACCACTGCCTCTCCCACGGCCCGTAGCTACCGACGACTCGCAGTAGTCGTAGTCTCGTCGAACTCGTCGTAGGAGCTGGAAACCTAAAACCCTGAACCTCTTTATCCCACATCTTTGAACCCTATTACGTTCGTGGTTTAAGGCAAGTTGGATCGACAAATTCATGGTTTGAGGCAAGTTTGCCTTAAACCACGAACCGACCAGCAAACATCGGGTTGTAGCTTTTTGAGGATTCCTGGAGCAGAGGTTCAGTAATTCAGGCGCTCGGGTTCAAGGATTTCGGCATTGTTCGTGGGTAAGGTTCGAGGGTGGGGTTGGGAACCATCGGACGTCGGCAGAGTGTCTCCGTTTAAAAGGCATATCGAAGGTCGGGAAGATTCGTGGGCAAAGGCCCTAAACTCTTAACCCTAAACCCCTAAACCCTAAACCCTTTGAACCCCTAAACCCCTAACCGCTGAGCCCTGAACCCTAAGGCCTTAAACCCTCCGGGTCCTAGGCCTTACTTAGGGTTTCGAATTTAAGCTCCAGGGTTCAGGATGAGGTAACGGCAAATGCGGTCAGCAAATCCAGTCCTTGCAAGGGTCGCTGATGTGTCTGACGTTCGGAGCATAGGAATGCGAGAGGTTAAAGTTCGGATTTAAGATGTAGGGTTTAGTTAGGATTACGGCCCTAAACCCTAAACCCCTAAACCCTAGACCTTCAACCTACACCCCAAACCCTCAACCCTAACACCCGAAACCCCACACCCTAAACCCCAAACCCTCAATCCTAACCCCCAAACCCCAAACCCCAAAGCCTAAACCCTATAGATCTCTTAGAGGAACGCTTATAGTACCCTTGAAAGGAACACTAAATCCCCAAGTCCCTAAACCCTACTAGGAGGATCAGGGGACTTAGTAAGTAAGGTTATAAGTACCCTAAATCGGGCAAGAAGCAATTATAGGTATAGTTACCTTATTTATAGCCCTATAGTTACTAAGTCCCATGATCCTTTAAGTACCTTAAACCCCTACTATGGATCCCTTACAGGAACCCTGTAAGGAACCCTTTAAGGAGCCCTTCAAAGTTACTAAGTCCCATGATCCTTTAATGTATAACCCTAGAGATCTTTTAAAGGAACCCTTATAGTACCCTTTAAAGGAGCCCTAAATCCCTAAACCCTGAACCCCTGAACCCCTAAACCCTAAACCGGACAACCCCCTATAACCCCCTCGCCCCCCCCCACCCTTTAAAGGAGCCCTAAATCCCTAAAGCCTAAAAAGGGGTTCTGCCAGGTCTCGGGGCCCGACCCACCAGAAGAGCCTGTGGCGCTGCAGGCATCAGCAGGTCGGGCCCAGCCTTGTCCTCTTACGGTATACGGTTTAGGGTTTAGGGTTTAGGGTTAGGGTTTAGGGTTTTAGGGTTTAGGGTTTTAGGGTTTTAGGGTTTAGGGTTTAGGGTTCCCCCAAAAGAATAAACAGACTGGCTAGTAGACTTTCTTAAATAACTCCTTTAGGTATAGGGCTCTGTTTATTATTTCTAAAAGGGGGTCTCGAAGTGCGATGCTTTCGTTTCGGGTTTCGGGGTACGCCCTGACCCGAGGAACTTCACCGTTTTGGGTGGAGGGTTTAGGGTTTCGGGTTGAGGGTTCAGTGTTTAGGGTTCAGTGTTTAGCGTGCAGGGTTTAGGGTTTCAGGGTTTCAGAGTGTAGGCTTTAGGGTTTGGGGTTGCAGGGTTGTAAGGGGGTGTTCGGTGGTTTAAGGGTGGAGGGGGTTCGGAGTTGAGGAGGGTTGATTGTAGTATCCTTAAGGGAGGGGGGTCCAAGGGGGGTATATAGCCTAGTGATCCCTAATTCTCCCTAGTACTCCCTAAGGTTCCCTTAAAGTCCCCTAAGGATTCCTTATAGGATCCTATAAGTTGAAGCCGACGCTGCTAAGAGGTTTAGAGTTTAGGGTGTGGGGTTCAGGGTTGGTTGCTCGGGAAATCGTGCCTGGTTTTGAGGTCATACTGCGACGCGAAGTTGTTGGAAGGTCGGGTCTAGGGTTTGCGGTCTATGGCTGGGAGTTTACTCAGGGTTGGGGGGAGAGCGAAGATGAAAGGGTCCTGTTGATAGGAGGGTTTTGGGACGGCGAGAAATGATCACCTTGACAAGGCTAAAAGCTTAACAAAGAATGAAAAGGCAAAGACGCAGTCGCGATGATGATTCGAACCAGGCAAAAGAAAATCTGTACACATCATCCGAATCCGGGTATGGCTTTGTTGGCAATCAGCTCAGCTTCTTTTCTTTTATTCTTTGATTCTGCGCTGCACGGTCTCATGGTTTCTAGGTTCTAGAATCCCGACAGTCGAAGCCTTACAGCTTTGTGTCACTTTGGGGAAAAGTGCCCAAGCTGAAACCTTGCAAGGTACAGGGTCGGTCCAAACTGAGGGTTGTAGAGCTTGGGGTTTATAGAGGGATTTCGGGCCATTCAGGGCTTGTAGTGCAGGAATTATGCTGTGGCATGTTCAGGGTTTAGGTCTCAGAATAAACACATCTCTTGGTTGTTAGGCCGATTTCAGGATTTCGAAGCCAGGTCCCTGAACCATGACGAACCCTGACTCCAAGTCAGGCCCAAACCCGATTTCCTAGACTCTAAACTTTGAACCGTGAACTGTAGATCCTAAGCTCTGCACTAGATCCCGAACCCAAGAACCTAAACTAACCCACTAAATGCGCATAAACCCTAAACCGCTTAAAACCCATGAACCCTTAAACCCTAAAGCACTAAAAAAACCCTAAACCCCTAAACCCCTAAACCTCCAAACCCCCAAACCCCTCAACCCCTAAACCCTAAACCACTAGAAACCCCTGAACCCCTAAACCCTCAACCCCTAAACCCTAAACCCTAAGCCACCAGAAACCCCTATACCCTAAACCACTAAGAACCCCTAAACCCTAAACCACCAAACACCCCTAAACCCCTCAAAACGCATTCAGGCGATCCCCTTCGCTTGGAGTTGCAGCGCGAGTCCGCGCGCCTGCGAACCGAGGCCCTGGGCTGCAAAGGCTTTTCTCACCTTGGAGCTTAGGGTTTAGGGGTTTAGGGGTTTAGGGGTTTAGGGGTTTAGGGGTTTAGGGGTTTAGGGTTTAGGGTTTAGGGTTTAGGGTTTAGGGTTTAGGGTTTAGGGGTTTCGGGGTTTAGGGTTTAGGGTGCAAAGTAATTGTTGACCTTGGAGCTGCTAAGAGGCCTTCTGGTACAGGGCCTTTATGATTTTAGCTTGGCTTAGGGTTTTGTAAGTGCTATCTGAGTGGCTTTAGGGTTGGAAACGTTTAATACATGCCCAGAAGACTGCTTCCCAGCAACGTCTCTTCCATCCTTGTCTAGATCCTCAGAGGGGTTCCTCGGCTTACGTCGAAAGGACGAAGTATGACGATGTCGTGAGCTACTGCAGAGCCGGGGTGCCCCGACCGGTGCTGGTACGCGCAGCACTACTTTTGCAAGTGCTACTACTACTTACTACTTTCGATAATGCTACTGCAGTACTAGGACTTCACCACCACCCCTACTGCTGCCACTCGCAGCATCACCACGAAGACTACGAAAACTGCTGCCACAACGCTGGTCTTGCCGGCACTGAACTTTCAATCTTGTTAGTTTTCCCCAAGCACTAAACCCTAAACCCACAACCCCAGTGCTAAGGGTTTAGGGCAATAGAGACTGTCAAGGTGTCGCGCTACCAGAGACTTCTCAGTGAGTGCCAGGACAGGGGTTGCCCCATGCTTGGTTCGGTGCAATGTTCGTGGTTGCGCTAACCCCGAAAGTAATGGCGATGCCACGATGAACGCGAGCTTTAGTTGCCGCCGTATGTCTTCCAACTCTGAGCACAAGCATGATGTGACAACAGCGTTGAGGACTCACGACACTGCAACAGTCGGCACTACATTGAAGCTTCCCCTCAAACCATCAGCTTGCAACATTTGTCCTACATGATCCGACGGACGTATTATCTGTTGCCCAGTTTGTATTTGATCTGATTCTGGCGACCACGACGAACTGCAGCTTCTGCTGCCACCACCACCGCCACCTCCACCATTACCATCACCACCATGACCACCACCATATGTCGTTGCCACAGTTGCAAAGCCATCTGCTGTCACTTCTGCTTTTGTTGCGACCTGTGTTGGTGTTGCAGTTGCGAGGCTCAGTGCTCTGTGGGTCGGCTTTAGTGTTCATGTGTAGTTTTTAGCATTTGGGAGTTTCCGAAAATGAGGGATACCTACTTTTGGGGTCCTTATATAATAAGGGCCTTACTCTTTAGCATTTGCGGAAACTCCCATGTAGGGTCTATAGCACATCTTGTGATCCAGTGTTGAGTATTGTTGCCACCTCTTGTACCCGTAGTTCCCTTGCACTGTTTGCCCTAAACCCTATACCCTAAACCCTTAACCCTAAGTGTGCCAATTGCCTGCAGACATCAAAAAAGGAGCTCAACAAAAAACCCTAAACCCTAAACCCCTAAACCCTTAAACCCTAAACCCTAAACCCCTAAACCCTAAACCCTAAACCCCTAAACCCCTAAACCCTAAACCCCTAAACCCTGAAACCCTAAACCCCTAAACCCCTAAACCCTAAACCCTAAACCCTAAACCCCTAAACCCCTAAACCCTAAACCCTTTCCAGCTCCAGGGTTGACGTTGTCAACCCTGGAGATGATCGTGCTTGCTGTGGATTATTGCTGCTGGCTTCACTGTTACGGCTTTTTGCTTGTCACATATGGGAGTTTCCGAAAATTGGGGGTACCTTATCTTGGGGTCCTTATAAGAAGGATCCTACTATTCAGAGTACTATATTTGGGTTCCCCATTTTCGGAAACTCCCATATACTCATACACTATTCTTCCGTGTTCTAGCAACATCACCGAGACCAACACTGCCATCCCTCTAGCGTTACAATGTCCACGGCTCCATCCTTGGGCATGTCTTGTTGCGCTTTTTACTTGGCTCGTTGAGCTCCCAGTACTAGTGTTACTCGTAGACCATGTCTTAGTATGCTTACTGTGTTTCTCGTGGCGCTGTCCTGGCCCCTTCTGCACTGAGCAGTCTTTGGGGGTGCATGTACTTGTGCTTGCACAATAGCTGTTCTTGCTGCTGATGTCATGGGCACCACGATGGCAGTGTTGGTCACTACGAAACCGGTACTTGCATGAGTTGCACCGTTCCCACCACCGCCACTAGCCCTGAACCCTGAACGCAGGACATGAGCAGCCCGAGGCGCGGCAACTGTTCCCATGCTGAGTCAGGATTTGCTTTGTTATTGAGCCTCAGTCAAGGAATATCCCTTAAACTATAATGGGAACCATATCCCTTAAATTAAAAAGGAACCCTTGAACTATAATAGGAACCCTAATATGACCTTACTTTAGGGGTTTTGGCGTCCCCTAAGGGCTAAACCCTAGAGATCCCTCGAAGGAACCCTAGGTATTCCTTAACGGCTTTAGGGCCTGGGACTCTTAGGAGCACCCCGGCAGCATCGAAGCTAGGGCCCTCGTCTTTTCGGGTTTAGGGTTGAGGGGTAGGGGATCCTAATAATATAGTATCCTGAATAGTAGGGTTCTCAGTACAAGGACCTCAAAAGAAGGTACCCCTTAGTTTCAGAAACCCCCATATACTGTAGTCATATATTATAATAACCATATCATAAAATAACTGTGCTAACTTATACCTTAATAAGATACCACAGTCGTCTACTAAAGGTATATACTGTCATCATATCATGTCAGAAGACACAATGCGGCTGCAGGGATCGCTTACGTCCGCCCTCACCGACGAAGTCGCCGCGAGGAGGGATCAGGGATGTAGGATAAAGCGGATCTGCACAGAACCCTACGCTTCAATATCACACAAACTTCTCTGAACTGTAATATGTGTGATGATTAAGTTCTCCGTGCCCGTAGTAGTTAAAAGAACCAAGCCCAGCATGGGTTTTTCGCGGCTCTCATATTCACATTCCTTCTCCTAGCAACCCGACGAGGGGGTGGACGAACGTGAACTGTGATTTCAATTCGTGGAACAGCAGCATCGGCAACTGCCGATGTGTTGCCCTCCCTCCTCCTCCTCCTCCTCCTCCTCCTCCTCCTCAGTTTCCTCTTCGTCCTCCTCCTGCTCCTACTGCTACTCCCGCTCCCACATCTGCTTCTACACCTACTGCTACTGCTCATACTCCTGCTCCTACTGCCACTCCCACTTCCACTCCTTCTGCTACTCCTCCTACTACGTCTCCTCCTAGACGATGGCTGCTACTACCACGGCGACGACCGCAACTACGACTACTGCCACCAATACTACTACTACTACTACTACTACTACTACTACTACTACTACTACTACTACTACTACTACTACTACTACTACTACTACTACTACTACTACTACTACTACTACTACTACTACTACTACTACTACTACTACTACTACTACTACTACTACTACTACTACTACTACTACTACTACTACTACTACTACTACTACTACTACTACTACTACTACTACTACTACTACTACTACTACTACTACTACTACTACTACTACTACTACTACTACTACTACTACTACTTGCTGCTACTTCTACTTCTACTTCTACTTCTACTTCTACTTCTACTTCTACTTCTACTTCTACTTCTACTTCTACTTCTACTTCTACTTCTACTTCTACTTCTACTTCTACTTCTACTTCTACTGCTACTGCTACTGCTACTGCTACTGCTACTGCTACTGCTACTGCTACTGCTACTGCTACTGCTCACTACTGCTAGTACAGTGTATTAGTACGCCGGCGAGGACGACTGTGACGCCTACTTCTAGTTCAATTCCGTCTCTTACTGTAATTCTTTCGCTGCTGCTGCTTTTTCTGCTAAAGCTCCTGCTGCTGCTTAGGCGACGCCAGCTACTATTGTCGGTCTGTTGTGTGTGTTTGGGCCGTGCTCTCATGTCTTGCTGTTGGCAACATCAATATCACTGCGATCTGGCTCCGTAGCTAGTCTGAGGCCTGCATCACAATTGCCAGCGCCTGCTGAGGCTTCAAGCCAATCCCAAAATTGGATCTCGAGATGCCCAGTATCTGGGATGCCCAGATTTTCTTATATGGGAGTTCCCGAAAATTAGGGGTGCCCGATGTTGGGGTCCTTGTAATAAGGATCCTACTATTTAGGGTACTATATTGGGGTCCCCTATTTTCGGAAACTCCCATATTGCGAACTCCAACAACATGACAAACTGCACAAACGTTAGAACCAATTCCCAAACTCCTGCACTTGGCCTCCCCAGCAATCCAGTTCTGGAGAGTTTCCTGCGTACGCTTGGTTGAAGACGGGAGCACAGATTCCAACCTTAAACCCAACACCCTCAAACTTAAGGTTTTGGGTTGAGGGTTGAGGGTTCACAGATCCCAACCCTAAATCTAAAACCCTCAAGCCTCGGCGAGGCAACGGAGTCTTCCAGCCGAATTCTGTGAGGCTTGACGGAAGTGTCGATGCTCGAGGCGCGGGAACTTCTGTGGTTTAGGGTTGCCAGGAGGCGGTTAAGAAGACCTTAAATCCTAAATTCTAAAACCCCTGAACCCTGAACCCTAAACCTTAGACTTTAAATCCTACTTAAATTCTATTACCCCTGAACCCCGAACCATAAACCTCAGACCCTAAATCCTAAGTTAAGTTCTATTCACAGGAGCTGTCTCCGGAGCACCTACCGTGCCCAGCGGCAGCGTGCAGACGCCACCCGCCTGCAGGAGATCACAAGTAGGGTTTAGGGTTTAAGGCTCATGGTTTGGGGTTTAAGGTTAAGGGTTTAGGGTTTAAGGTTCAGGGTTTGGGGTTTGAGGTTAAGGGTTTCGGGTTTAAGGTGCAGGTTTTTCGGTTTCAGGTTCAGGGTTTAAGGTTCAGGGTTTGGGGTTTAAGGTTCAGGTTTTTCGGTGTCAGGTTTGACGAAAGCCCGGAAACCTTACACCCTAAAGCGCCGAACCCTAAACCACCGAGGAGGGTTTTCTGCCGTTGCCTGGCATCTTCTCGGCTCTAAACTCCCTTGCC